CAGGAGCTTAGTAAATGTTAAATGACTGAACAAAGACTACAATTCTAATAATATCACATTCACTTTATTGTCCACCAACTATGTGCAAAGCACACATAACTTTTATACATTACTTCTAATCCTCACAATCCTTACAAGTACATTTTAATTCCGTTACACGGATAAAGACTGTCCATCAACACAAAAGCATTAATAGAAACTGTAAAGGGATCTTATCTGAAAGCATTTAGGAATAGCTATTTTTCTAATATAAATACCACTACTTTATAAACTTAAAATTCCAGAAAGTGAAGCATATTGCAATTTTATTACAGCAACAATTTCACAAAAGTGAAACATCAGAAATTACATTATTCTAAGCAATTGTGCTGGTCTCAGTAATCCTTGATAAAAACCTCTGTTCTAAAAGCAATTATCTGACAATGAAAGTTTTTGGTAGATCCTTCCTGATGCCCTTTATTGGATCCTCCACAGACCTCTCAGCAATCTGTGGCTCAGTGCTTTGCCTTGTTCTCAACCACACTCACTCCTTTGATTACTGGTATTCAACTTTTTCATCATGCCACACAGTAAGACTTTTATAATGCAATTCATTATACTGAATAAAAAGGATCACAAATAAAACGGAAACAAAAGAATCACAAAGAAATATCCTACTACATGGTATATAGCTGGTATTTTTTATTCTGTGCTTTTCTTCCTTCCCTTCCTCCTCCCTTTCTCCTTTTTTTAATGCTGGTTAGGGGGCGCCTGGGTGGCTCAGTTGGTTTAAGGGTCTGATTCTTGAATCTGGCTTCGGTCATGATCTCATGAGTCATGAGATCCATGAGATCGAGCCCCGCCTTGGGATCCCCACTCAGTGGGGAGTCTCCTTGAGATTCCCTCTCTCCCTCTCCCTCCTCCCCCTGTGGGGCTGGCCTTCCCACCATAGGCATGCTCTAGAGCACTTTATCTATCTAAAATAAATAAATAAATGCTGGTTAGTACTTACTAAATTGATTTCACGACCCATTAATGGGCCACAACTAACAAAATAACAGTACTATGCTAGGTGATCTCCAATTCTACAAGTTTAACTATCATCTAGGACTCCTATTTTTATCTCAATCACATCCTTTCCCTTGAACTTCATATTCCTATAATGCTACTTGACATCTTCCCTCGGACATTTTTCTAAACCTGTTCCCCCTCCCTTAGTAGTCCCCTTATTGATAAAATGACAACATCATTCACCCACATGAATGGGGTCAGGCCCTTAATTCTGAAGTCTCACTCATTTTTTTTCTCTCATAAGCTACTCTTTCTACCTTTGAAATATATGTTAAATACAACTTCTTAGCACCTCTACCACTATCAACCTAATTCATATAAACTCTGTTTATATAGACTACTACAAACATCTATTAACAATTTTCCTCCACTCTCCAATAATCAGGGTGATCCTTTGAACATATTTAAGTCAGTTCACACCCCCTGCTCACAACCATCCAATGGCTCCCAAAACAGTTTTTAAAAAATCCAAATTTCCTATTATGGCCTATGGCTGCCATGACCCTACCTATCCTTTTCTGACCTGATAGCCTACTTCTGCTCCCTTATGCTCATTCCTCTCCAGCTAGTTCTCCCTGTTCTTGGAAGAAGCCAGTAATGTCCCCAGTTGAGAATTTTTTCTACTTGCTGTTCCTTATACCTAGCTTGCTCCTTCATTTCATTGAGGTCTCTGAATAATAACTCAAAGCAGCCTTCCCTGACAACCTGAACGGAAAAAGCACTTCCATCACCTCCTAGTCTTTTATCTGGTTTTTTTTTTCTCTTTATAGGTCTTACTACCCAACCTTTTATCTCCAGTGCTTATGAGGACTCAAATTTTAGTTCAAGAAGTGAATGAATGTACATAAATGAATATCAGTAATCGTAATGACAATACTATTGAGAACTTAATTCTTGGTACATCAGCCTCATTCTTCTTGACACTATTCTTCAATCTATTTTAAGAACCAACTACTTATAAATTGAAACGAAGAGGATCACCGTTCTGAGTGGAATTGGAAAAAATATAACTTGAATCTATCTAACTTGTAAAGGAAGTATAGTTTTTGTACATACAGAAACTGAGCCAAGATAAGTAGGAATCTAACTAGATTTTATACTTACCTAGCAAGTAGAATATTTATACACCAAGAAAAATAAAGTAATGGATAAGAGCCTAGACTCTGGAGCTGACTAGGTTTAAATCCTGGTTCTGATATTTAATAGCAGTATAGAACTTTCCTGTACCTTAGCTTCCTCATTTATAAAATGGGGACAATCAGATTTACCATAGTGTGCTGTGAGAACCTAACAATGCTTATCACATTAGTAAGCCTGTAAATATTATTATTCATTTGTAATTTATCTCAAAATTCCTTATCTATTAACACTATTAAACAAACCTCGACTGGGAAGTCACAAATTATGCTTTATATTTCCAAACTTTTTAGGAAAGATAAGGGATCCATGTCAAAATGAAAAGCTCCTCGCCCCCACCAAGTACTAAAAAAACTGGTTTGTTACTGTGACAGGAAGTCACAAAATGATAGAATATGTGATATCCTAAGTCTACTTGCATATTAACTGCTTATTTTGTACAAAATAAATAGTTCAACAGTTTACAGGTATGAATCACATTTTTTCTGAAAGATTAAAATTTAAACTCATTTAAATTCCTTACCATATCCAATGTTCAACATTATGAATATTGGAACTTGGATTGTTTTATACATTTCACTAAATAACACAATTGGTTGCAAATCTCACCCTATTTTCTTACTATCTATATTTTATACATATAAATGCTTGCCTCTACAGTTAGATAGCAGCTAATTACCTTAGATATTAAAGGTTAAAAAGGAAAGAAAAAAAGTTGAGCTGCTTCAGTGCCCATCATATTATGTAATGTGGGGATGCATATAGTTAAGTCCTAGAGAACAAAGTTCAATAATTAAAATTAGCTGTTTTCTTATCTGGGCAAAAAGTGGGTTTAAAAGCGAAAAAGCTTACTGTAACTTTAGCCATTAGGGAAGTGTGTCATCTCTCTGGTAAATCAGGAAATTATCTGCTACCACAGAATCATAATGCTTGCAGCTAAGCCTGACCTCATAATTAAGAGGGATCACAGCATAAAATGCTAACATGTTAGAAATGTTAGCAAGCGTGAAATAAAATTACTGAATTCCCATAGCAAACAATACCTAGGCTTGTTATGATCTAAATCATTTAAATCCTTGTATTCTAATTACTAATCCTCACAGAAATCAGTAGGCTACTTTTAATACTTTAAGATAAAAACAACTTCTATTAAGGAACTGTATATATTACAGGTGTTTTAGTTGACTGGCCTACAGAATTTGTTAAGTTTCAAGGCCTGCTTGATTGTTGCTATTAGAAAGGCTAATTGGATACTCAGTATTCTTCTTTCAAATCACAGGTAATACCAAAGCTACAAAATAAACACAGGTTGGTGGTGGTGTTTTTAAACTTGATGGACCCAGTATTAAGTAAGTTTAAGTTTGAGCTCTGCTTAAAGCAGGCAAACATATAAAGGTAAAAAAATAGTAATAATGAAATAGAAAAGCTGATATAAACAATTCTCAAATCTCACTGATCTCATTACAGACTCGTTTTTAAAATTAGACCTCGGGGCACCTGGGTGGCTCAGTGGCTTAAGCCTCTGCCTTCCGCTCAGGTCATGATCTCAGATTCCTGGGGTCGAGCCCCAAATAGGGCTCTCTGCTCAGCGGGGAGCCTGCTTCCTCCTCTCTCTCTGCCTGCCTCTCCGCCTACTTGTGATCTCTGTCTGTCAAATAAATAAATAAAATTTTGAAAAAAAAATTAGACCTCTTAAAATAATGCCTTCAAGTGTAACTCAAACATAATTTCACATAGCAAGTATGCATGCCCTAAGGCAATCCGCTTAGGTGTATACTCCCCACCAGGCAGTTAAAAAAAAAAAAAAAAACTCACATAGCTTAAAGTTTGATTTATTAAATATGACAGCAAATCATTCAGTTGTATTTATAACAAAAAATTTATTTTCACAATATTTAAATGACCATGTTTACAATTGCCACACCACTAATCCTTGCCAGCCTTTTCATTTTCTCTAATACTTTTTCTATAAACTTGGAAAAAGCAATACTCTATTAAATCAATAATGTAACACAAGATATATTATCAAATGCTGGCATTTCCGTGATATTCAAGAATTTATGACAAGAAATGGGATCTCGGGCTTAAGGATAAAGGGGAAAAAAAAAACAAGCCACCTAATCCCAGAGCAGGTAGAGCTGGGACGGGAAGTACGGGTGTCAGTAAATGTTTCTGAAGCCAAAGCAATTTTCACGCAAGTTAAACTCAAACTTTTCTACACAGAAGTTTAAAACCGACCTGAAACACTGCTTCGATAGTGTAACAGAAACGAGTGGCCCCAAACAAAGCAAGTCCTTTGGAGCAACTGTTAATGTGAATACAAGTGCTTTCTCCAACCAGGAAAGCATGGAATGAAAAACTAAGTGCCAAAGAAAAAAAGTTAAAGCGTGCCAAAAGGTCTTAAAACTACACTTAGCAGTGAACGGTAAACGACCCCACAGACTCCTGCAAAGAGAAGCTGCTCCACTCCCCCATAAGCAGAGGAAGCCATGGGGACTGGCCGGGGGAAACCTGAGAAAGGGCCCGGAGCCCTCCACCAGTTCTCTCAGAAGCTGTGACTGTCTGAAGAGACTGAGGGGCCCCCAAACCGGAGAACGGTCGGGCCACTAATTCCAGGACCTTGCCCTTCCCGCCACCCTCCTCCCCGTCCCGCAGCGTCAGCCAGTCTCCTCCGGATGCAAAGAGTACTCAGGGGGGTCGGGGGACTGCGGAGCCGGCGGCCTGAGCGCCCTCTTTACCTGGTCGCAGAGGCGCGGCCAGGCAGGGAGGGTGCATGAGCGTGTCAGCGACACAAGCCGCCTGCGCCTACCCACCCCGCTCGAGCCAGGTTTCCGAGGCAGCTTCTGCGAGTCTTCGCCCACCGACCTCTGGCTGCCAGAAAGGCCGGGAAAGAAACAACAGGCACGGTATCTTGGAAACAGCGGCGTCGGCCGTCATTCATAATCCGGCGGACCGGAAACTGGAGGTTACGTCACTTCCTACCGTGGCACAGCCAAAAAGTTCCCCTCTTCACGCTGCTGCAGGAACCTTTGTTTCCCCTTCCTCGGAGAGGGCTAGTTCCGGGAGTGGTTCGGAAGGGGCCTCCGGGAACGGACGGAGCTGCGGGGCGGAGCGGTGAGTTGTGACGAGCTAGCCGGCTCCCAGCCGCCTCTGGGAGGCTCGAGACCTCCGCGAGGCGAGGTGGGAGAGTAGTTGCGTGGGGTCTTAGTTTCCTCGCTCTTCATGGGAAAACCTCGTAATTTGCGGGGGGTCGCGCGCCCCAGGCTGACCGCTCTCTCCCTTCAGCGAGGGTTGTGCTTCCTCCTAGGGTGTTTCGGGCTAGGGCTCGTCGGCTGAGGCACGGCCCCAGGGACTAGGCTCCTGGAAGTCTGTCTCGGACCCTTCTCGGAAGGTTTTGGCGACTTCTCCATGCAGCTCCCTCTTTCCGCCTCTTACTTTCTCTCGGGGTTCCTCCTTAAAGACCTTACCCCGTGCTAGGCCTTCGGTGTCATGTTTTGATCAAAGGATTGGAATTCCTTTTCTGAGCGTCTGCTAACTTCTCTGTCACTTGGTTGATTGGAATCATAGTCTTCTGCTTGCCCTGCGTTTCCAGACGAGTCCCTAAGATTTCAGTGTAACCCAGGGCCAAGAATTCAGGAGAGGATGGAAATGCGCAGCATCTTTGAAAGGATTTTTGTTAGAAGGGGTCGCAAGAGCTTCCAAAGACATAGAGGGCAAAGCTTTCTAGAGCCGTTATGAGATGGCAACCCTAACAGTGCATTCAGTGTGAATAGGTTCAGTTTCCTTGATCTTGTGTGTGCACATGCAGATGATCAACTTTGGACTTTTTCTAAGATTGGCATGTAGGGTGAGAAATGGGATCTAGGGCAAAGCATTATGAATATCCAGTTTCGGTTGGAGACATCCCAGATGCCCCAGAAAGTGATACTTAAAAAAAAAACCTAGTTCATTCATTCAGTATTTTTGAGAGCCTAAATTTTAAACAGTAGATTTATAACTAAAAACAAGCTCTTGCCCTCATGGAGTTACAGTCGAGTGGGGTTAATTTAAGCCAAGTAAAGGATTGGGAAGAGAGTATTGCAGATAGGAACATTGTACAGGTCTCTAGTATTGGAAGACGTGGTTTTTGTTTATATTGCTTTTCCTTTTGCTTTTTCCATGTTTGAGGTGGGGGTGCAGGAGATGCAGGGAAGTTGGGTTTGTCTTTTGTTCTTATTGCTCTTTGCAAAGGGACTTTGTAAGTGGTTAGAATTATGTAGAAGGAGGAAAAAATCATTATACTTTACTTTGAACCCTAATAATTCTGTAGCCATTATTTTATGGTACTTTGCAAGGTAGCAAAGTAATAGTCAAAAAGATAAATACAAACTCCCTTTCCTCCTCAAAGTACTCAGAGTTTTATAGGGAATGTAACACTTTTGGGGGGGAAAAATATGGTTCAAAGTAGAAAGTCCTAGTACCACAAGAAAGCACTATATGAGATATCCTAGGAGGGAGAGATTATTAGTAGTATTTGGGGTGGAGAAGGACACACCATTGGTGAATAGAATCTTCATGAGAAATAATATTTGAACATAGAATTTGGACATCTAAAAATGGGTAAAAAGCCTCCCAGAGAGAAAAATAAGTAGAAGTGTCAAAGCTAGCTAATGGCTCTGCTGTAAGGAAAATCTGTATATGAAGAATTAAAATTTTTGTACCAGTTAAGGAGTCTTTTTAAATGGTAGGTGAAGAAATTCGGCTTTATTTCGAAGACAGTAGAAAGTTTTTTTGAGCAAGAAAATGAAAAAAGAAAGAAATGTGTTTTGGGAATATTAATATGACAACAGTGTTGAAGTCAAGGAGGATAACTAGATTATTGCTATAATACAAAATTATAAAGACTTGAATTTGAGTAGTAGCAGTGGAAGTGAAAAATGGAACAAATGTGACAAATGTTACAGAGTCAGAATCCATAGGGAAAGCCTGCTGATTGTTTGGTAATAAGGATTAAGAGCCGTTTCCCTGAGGGGAAGATGTAGGCCCCAGACCGGATCAGTGGAGAGTGTCATTCATTGAAAAGGGACCCCGATCTCTCTTTATCTATACACATAAACACACCTAGAACTTTGTTTTTTGGAATCCTCCATAAGAATGGTATGGCTCTTTTCCAGTCTATTTTGATCATGGATTTTAGAATATACAGGGAAGGATTGTATAAAAGTAACATAATTTGGTGTAATTCCAGGAAAATATTTTTGGAAGTAATAGAGGAGGTAAATTGATAAATTAGTTGCTGACCTCTTTAAGGACATAAATAGATGAAAATAAATTTTATTATATTTGCATTTGCCAGTAAGAAAGGAGAATAGAAACCAGAGAAGACAATAGAAAAGTGGTAAAGAAAAGTAAGATAGAAAACGAAAATATAAAGGATAAAACACATAACTATGAGTGTTTTATGTTAGGCCCATCTACTGTTTTCTCTTCAATGAGGGAAAAAAGTTGGAGCAACGAAGTGCCAATATGGAGAAAGCAGAGGGAACAAGGAATTGGAGGCTTCTATAAATTCAAAGTGCAGGTGGAATTGAAGGAAAGAAATGGGGCAAAAACCAAACAAACAGAAAACCCAAAAGGAAGGTTGACCTGGTACCCTGAAGACATTTCTGGGTCAAAACAGTGGAATAGATAGAATAATGGGATATTATAATCAAAAAGTAGAATAGTTATGGCTAGTTTCAAGCTTCAGTGGCTGAAGATAAAGCTCCTTAGGTTGAAGATTTAAGTAAAAGTGCAGGAAGCTGGAGATCATCGATATAGATGCAATTTTAGCATCGCTGAAGATGAAGGTGTGGAGGAGGAGAAAGATGAATGTGGTTCCATACTTTAGCAACCTTGAAGGTGCAGGTGTGGATTTCAAGAGAAGATGCTGATGAGTGGTGGTCATAGAATGTTTTCCCAAAAGCAGCAATATGGAATTAGATATCCATAGACCTCTTTGCTCTATGAATAGGAAGTGAAAGGAACACCACTAGGAAATGGTGGTAAAAAGGTGGTGTCATGGGGGAAATAGAAAGGGTAAAGCTATACAAGGAGTGCTTAAGAAAACAAGTAGAAAAAAAAAAAAAAGAAAAAGAAAAAAAAGAGAAAAAAAACCAAGTAGAAAACATAGGGGAATATATTGGTAATGAGTGGGGGCTAGAAGACAATGGGCAACTAGCAATGAAGTTAGTGTGGAAAGAGAAGGGCTGAGCTGAAAGAAAGTACTGGAAGGTTTTTCAAGGGAAAGGTAATTTGTACTTTAAAGTAGCCTTGATGTATGCATAATAAAGAAAGGTAAACTAGAAGTTGCTAGATAGCCTAAAGCAGTGGCCTCCAAATTTGTCTCATTATTCATGAGTGTAAAATTGAGCATACTTCCATATACGTTATCAATTATATGCATACACTGCTATCATTCTGTATATTAATAGCTATTTTTTAAAGATTTTTTAAAATTTATTATTTATTCATTTGACAGACAGAGATCATAGTAGGCAGAGAGGCAGGCAGAGACAGAGAGAGGGAAGCAGACTCTCCGCTGAGCAGAGAGCCCGATGCGGGGCTTGATCCCAGGACCCTGAGATCATGACCTGAGCTGAAGGCAGAGGCTTTAACCCACTGAGCCACCCAGGCACCCTAATAGCTATTTTTTAATAAAAAAAGAAATTCTTACATTTTTCCCCCTATATTCTTCTATGAAGACCACTGGGCTAGAGGGACATGTTAGTAATTTAGGGTGTGGGTACAAAGCCTGTTCAGTTTTATAATTATAGGATAGTATAAGAACTGACTCCCAAGGTTCCAGTTGGAATGTTGGTATTGATAACATGACTTCCCTGGTTTTATAATCTAGGTGTTGACTCTTGTCACCTAATCTGTAATGCAGACTTTTTATTGGTGATTATGGAATTACATAACAGTAAATAATTTGCTTCTGATTTTCAGCGTAGAAATTTCAAGTAATGGTTTTTCTAGTATATTAAAAGGATTCTTTTCAGTATTAACCCTTTGGTCAGTCTCATAGGAACAGATGGTTTTGGATAAGTAAACACTCTGCTGTTTAGCTATAGAAAGTTATATCAATAAAACAATATGTCGTATTCCCCTTGAGCAGTCAGGACAATTCAATATTGTGGACATTTCAGTGAGGAACTGTTTTCTCCTGAGAATATGTAGAGTGACCAGCCTATACCATAAGTAAATTTGACCTTTCTTACCTTATCATCTATATAGATGATGTATGGAATAATACCATCTTAAAAAGTGACAGAGGATGGGGTGCCTGGGTGGCTCAGTGAGTTAAAGCCTCTGCCTTCAGCTCAGATCATGATCTCATGGTCCTGGGATCGGGCCCCACATCGGGCTCTCTGCTCGGCGGGGAGCCTGCTTCCCTCTCTCTCTTTCTGCCTGCCTCTCTGCCTACTTGTGATCTCTCTCTCTCTGTCAAATAAATAAAATCTTAAAAAAAAAAAAAGTGACAGGTTGCTTCTCAATTTTCATTAAATTACTAATACAGCTGTTTGAGGTAGGTTATTTTCCTATTAGTACTGGCTTTTGGATTCATGAGTGATTCAGATATTTTAGTAGAATGCAGAATTTGACAATAATTCTGAGGCTGTCAGATAAGTATCTAATATTTTCTTGAAAACTTAAAAAAAATGACCTAAGGGTGTGTGTGTGTGTGTGTGTGTGTGTGTGTGTGTGTGTGTGTGTGTATTTCCTGTCAAAGTTGGAGAAGGATTGGGGAGAAGTGGATGGGTAAGGAACAAACAAAATTCATTTCAGTCTGAACTTTCATATGCCAAGATTCAACCTACAGCAAGTTTTAATGATTTTATAAACCCCTGAAAATGAGAGATTACTGTGGAATTGCTGACAGATCCTTAACTCTAACAGTGCAAGTGTGTTGCATTATTACAATATTAACCTCAAGGGTAGAAGACTTCAACTTCAAGCCCTACAATATTGATCAAAGGATTGAACACGAAGTATACACTTTTATTTTAATAATACCTTGCCTGGAGAAGAATTTGAAAAAGTGACGCAAGAAGTAGAACCACATGATAGAATTGGTATTAGCTGAAAACAAAACTTTTTAATGTTTGGAATTTCATAAGCCTTTGATGTACATCTTCACTATATTTTAAGCTCCTAATGACACAGAGCATTCTCATAGGCCCTTTGGGAGATTTAAATATAGATAGATCTATCTATATATCTATCTATATATATATATATTTTTTTTTTGTAGTAACTATGGCACCATTCCTTAGAGACCTTGCTTTTTAAAAATAAGTTAATACATGAGATACCACAATCTAAATGCGATTCAGTAAGATTATCATTAGTATGTTTTCTGAGGCATTCAAGATTGGAGATGAGGACTAAGGAGATAAAAAGAAAATATAATTGAGGTAAAAGCTGCAGCATCAAAAGCTGCAACACCTTTATAGCTCATCACTTAATGCTTCCTCTAAACATCGCCCTCCTGTGACACATACCCCCCAAATCTTTTTTTTTTTTTTTTTTTTTTTTGGCACTGGAAATAAGGCTGGAGAGAAGAAATTTTGATATATAGTAACCCTGAGCTAAACACATCAAATTCTTGTACACTGAACTCTTAGTGTACATTTTAAAACAGAGTTAGGAAGGGGCTCTGTGGCAGGGAGGAGCTTATCTGGATTTAAAATTTAGCTGTGGATATAGATACATACAAAACTGATATGTTCTTGCTTCAGGTGAAAAGAATTTGGTAAGGATAACAAAGAAATTTACCTTTCTTTGTAATAACCTTTTAGACATTTCAGATTTTGTATCATGGGCACAATATTACCTATTATAAACAAAAGAATTAAATAAATAAACTTTAACATAGATAACTGTTCATTGTCTCTAAGTTAACACCCCCTTCTTTTTTCTTCAGGTGTTTGCAATGGCAGCTACTGTGAACTTGGAACTTGATCCCATTTTTTTGAAAGCACTAGGCTTCTTACATTCAAAGAGTAAGGATTCTGCAGAAAAGCTGAAGGCACTACTTGATGAATCTTTGGCTCGGGGCATTGATTCAAGTTACCGTCCATCTCAGAAGGTACCTGTGTGAATTAAAAGCTTGGGGGATGGAGTTTTGTAAGGCCTGTAGTAGAACAGTGTTAATATTTAGACCATCTCAAAATAGTCTCCCTGCCATAATAATCTTTCCTTGAGGCTTGAAGAAATTATATTTTTTAGTGTTCTTTTCTTCCATCATGCTTTCAAAGAACTGTTATATTACATAGAAAAGTTAGCTGTATGGGAGGGATATTCTACTTTATTTGTAGAGAAACCCACTTATATATGATTTAATTTCTAATTCTTTATGAGCAAAATATTTTTTAAGCTTCTGTATGAAACCATAACTCGTAATTATTCTCAAAAGTTTTATGGGCCAAAAACCATGAAGTAAAAGGACAGATTTTGCAGTGAAGTGGATTGAATATGGGTAGAATAATTTAAGGGAGAAAGGAGGTGTGAATGAACTATGAGAACTGTGTGGCTCCAACTTTGATAATAATAAAGCAGCCAAGCGACTTTATGTGAAAAGAATATATATTTTGGAACCAAACCTACTTTAAATCCCAGCTTGCCGCTTATTAATTGTGTGGTAATAGATACTATATCCTGAACATTTATTGTGTTTAAGGTACTTTTCTACATGATATATGTGTATAATTAATTTTAATTGTGATAATGGTCCTTTGAAAGAGGTATTATTTATTTTCATTTAAAAATAAGGAAACTGCTGGGCCCCTAGGTGGCTCAGTTGATTAAGCGTCTGACTTTGGCTCAGGTCATGATCTGAGAGTTCTGGGATCAAGCCCAGCACAGGGTTCCCCAGGCTCAGCTGGGAGTCTGCTTGTCCCTCTGCCCCTCCCCCTGCTCATTCTCTCTCTCTCAATAAATAAATAAAATCTTAAAAAAAAAAATAAGGAAACTGAGGTGCATAGTATCTTCATTTCAGTCGGCCTCTATTTCTTTATTAGTAAAAGTAAAATTAGTATAATAAAAATTACCTTGCAAAACTGTGATAATTAACCAAAAATAAAGTATGTAAGTTACTTGGTGTAGTATCTACCTGGTACATAGTAGGCTTTTCATGAGTGGCAACTCTTACTATATTCTGTAATGGCTGATAACATTCTTTCAAACCTTTCTAAATCTCTAGAGCCCTGAAACTCCAAGTCACCCAGGTCTCTGAACCTAGACACCAAACTAAAGGAAGATAGAACTATATCACTCACTCAGTGTAATCCACACTCTCAAACTCAAGTCAGGCCCAAATGCCAGACTCAGCAGCCAAGTCCCAGATCCAGTGCTTAAGTAAACAGTGGTATTTTGCCCCTCATCTTCTTTCAATTTAAACTCTCATATTCTCAAGCTTTTTTACTGTGTTTTGAATAGTAGGGGCAGTGTGTCCTTGTTTCTTCTACCATCCTCATTCTGGTAGGTTCAGTGAGTTCAACCTGACCAAATTATGCAACTCTACAGAATGCACTATTAAGTTTATTCTGCTCTGACTATTGATATTATCCCAATAGGAAAAACCTGTTATTACTGAAGAAGCAGTACTGTATTTTGAGATTTTAAAACAGAGGGAAGTTCATCTATTAAAGTACATGAAAAATTTATTTCAATTAAAAAGCCTCCTGCCCTTAGATTTCTAACTGGAGTTACTTCTATTGATCAACCTAGAGAATATACTCTGTTAGGTATATAAAAAGTATGGATTCACTTAATTATAGCCTTTAGCTGTTCATTTCCATCTCTAGAATAAATCACCTGGAGGCAGTGGTATACTTATAAACATTAACAACTGGCTTTCTAAATGTAGTATCAACATAAAAATTGGTTGATATTGCATTTACCTCATTAAAGAAGTCAAATGTGAAATAATGAACTTAGGGGCGCATGGGTGACTCAGTCAGTTAAGCGTTGATCAAGATCAGCTCTTGATCTCAGCTCAGGTCTTGATCTCAGGGTCATGAGTTCAAGCCTTGTATTGGGCTTCATGCTGGGCATGTAGTCTGCTTATGTAAAAAAATAAAAAAGGGAAGAGAAGAAAAAGAAATAATGAACTTAGAACTTAACTCATTCTTCAATGACTTGTAACTCTAGTTGACTTAGATAATAGTTTTCAAATGCTGCAAGATTATGTTTTTTAGTTTTTTATGTTAGAGAAGTAGTACACTTCTAAGTTTAATCTCCATTACCAACATTTTTTCCATCACTTTCCCAAGGCTATACCAGTGGTCACCAAACTTTCTGTAAAGTATCAAATAGTAAATGTTTTAGGTTTTTGGGGCCACATTGTCTGTCACAATGATCTAATTCTGCCATGATAGCATGAAAGCGCTGCAGGTTATACATAAATGAGAAAGTATTGCTGTGTTCTAATGTAACTTTATAAAAAAACGGGCAATAGGCCAGATTTGGCCTCTAGAACTAGACGGTGGCACAATAAATCAAGTGTAGCTACCAATAAGTCTAAAGCCCTTTTCTTTATCCCTTCCCCATTTCTTCCTCCTCAGAGGTTACCACTGTTCTGAAGCTAATGTATATCATTCTTGCTTGTATTTTTATACATTTATGTATTATCACAAAAAAGTAGACTGCACTCAGATGTTCTAGTTTATTTAGAATGGAAGGAAATGCTCTTCTTTTTTGCGGGGTGATTCCAAGGAGGTATCGTATACATAAATTTTTTATACTGTTAGCAATAGATAGCAAGTGTAAATACCAGCAAAGTGGTAATATAAGACAAGGAGGAAAAGATGAGCCAGAGACTAAAATATTTGCAAATCAAGTATCTGATAAGGGACTTGTATCCAGAATCTGTGAAGAACTTTCTAGACTCAGTAATAAAATGAACAACTCCATTTTTTAAAAAGGGCAAAAAATTTTAAGGAACACTTTACCAAAGAAGATATATATATGGCAGATAAGCATTTGAAAAACTGTTCAACAGTGTTAGACATTAGGAAAATGGAAATTGAATCAACAGTGATATAACGCTATATACCTATTACAATGTCTAAAATTTAAAAGATTAACCATACCAATGTCAATGAGGATGTGAAGGAGCTGGGACTCTCATACACTCCTTGTGGAAATGTAAAATGGTATACTACTTTGGAAAATGTTTTGGTAGTTTCTTAAAAAGTTGAACATACACATGCCATATGTGATCCAGCCATTTTATTCCTAGACATTAGTTCTAGAGAAATGAAAGTAAATGTCCACACAAAGAGTTGTGCATGAAGTGTCATAATAGCTTTATTTGGAATAGCCCCAAACTCTAAACAAATATCTATTAATAGATAAATGAATAAACAATGGTATATCCATTCAATAGAATATTATTCAGCAGTATAAGGAATGAACTGTTGATATACTCAGCCTGAGTCAATTTCAAAATAAATAGACTGAGTGAAAGAAGGTAGAAAAAGAGTACATACCATATGATTTTGTTCATATAAATTTCTAGGAAATGTAAACTAACTAATAGTTATAGAAAGCAGGTCAGTTGTTGCCTGATGATGGTGGGGGACATAGTTTCTCTAGGATGTATACCTCTAAGATAATTATAGTGGGCCACAGGGAAACTTTGGGGGATGATGGATATGTTCTTCATATTGATTATAGTGATGGTTTCATGTGAAAATTACCAATTTTACACTTTAATAGATACAGTTTTTATATCAATTGTTTCTCAATAAATCTTTTTAAAGAAATGGATTTTACATTGGTCAAAACATACCTTAATTTTTAACTAAAATTTGTTTATACTTATGATCTACTTTTTACAGTTTGTTAGAACATTTAATTAGTATCTTTTTATTTTATCTTTTAGGATGTGGAGCCACCCAAAATTTCAAGCACAAAAACTATTTCTGTTAAGCAAGAGCCCAAAACATCTTCCAGTCTTCCTTCTGGCAATAGTAATGGCAAGGCCCTCACAACTGAAAAAGTAAAGAAGGAAGCTGAAAAGAGACCAGCTGATAAAGTAAGAATTAATTTAATCGACCTTTAAAAAGAATAAATCAGTTGCGCTTATAGGCAGGAACAATGTTTCTTTCTGTGCTCACTTTTACATAATAGTAGGTAAAGTACATAATTTCTCAGTAAACATATTTTGATAATTATAGATGCTGATGTTGATTTTTTTAAAAGTGAGTAGAATTTACATTTTTTAACCATTTACTGAAGTCATTATCAATACATATTTGAACCCTAGGGGATGTACTAATTTCAAGTATAAACTTTAATCCATAACTTAAATATTCTAGATGGAACAGTTGTTGAGAAGCAAAGACAGGAGAGAATAAAGATGTAAGTGACTAAACATGAAATTTGTTTTAGGATGGTACGTACCTTAACAGACCTACAGATAATTCTTGGATTGCCTATTTCGAATGATTTTTGCACATAGTTAATTATTAAGATTTTAGCACTTAGTAAAAAATACATTTAAAAAGCCTTTAGTAGGGGCGCCTGGGTGGCTCAGTGGGTTAAAGCCTCTGCCTTCGGCTCAGGTCATGATCCCAGGGTCCTGGGATTGAGCCCCACATCGGGCTCTCTGCTCAGCAGGGAGCCTGCTTCCTCCTTTCTCTCTCTTTGCCTGCCTCTCTGCCTACTTGTGATCTCTGTCTGTCAAATAAATAAATAAAATCTTTAAAAAAAAAAAAAAAAAAGCCTTTAGTAATTCCTGCCCTCAAGGTGGAGTATTTTAGTCTCATATGTTTTCATACTTTCTCTAAATATTGGCTATTCTTAAAATATATGGTATTTTCTGTACTTTTAAGTTTCTATAAATGGTATCACACTGTACATGTATATCTTTTGGCAACATACTTTTTCATCTCTCAAGAAATGTGCTTTTGAAATTCACCTGTGTTGATAACAAAGAGGGAACATTGCTTTCAACACCATATAATAGTTACTCAGTAAATAAGTCAGTTTATCCATTCCCCTACTGGTGAGCAATTAGCTTATTTCTTCTTTTTTCTATTACAGTGGAGCTTTAGCAAGCAGCTTCAAAGGTAAATTTGAGCACATGATGATAGTTTCTATAGGAGGTATATCTATAAATAGATGTAATAGGATAGGTACATCTTCAATCTTACTAGACATTGGCAAATTACTATCCAAAGTGCATATACTGAATTTGTACTCTCGCCAATAAAGTATAAGAATTGAAAATCCTCCATGTCTTATCAGACTTTTTAATTGTTGCCAATTTGACAGGTATGTCTATAACACATATCTTAAAGAGAGGAGCCAGAATTTGCTTTGAAGCAAATATGGCAGTGTCTGGATGACTGGGAAATGGTTTGTTACTTACTTATTTTCAATATATTTCAAATATCAGTAGTTTAAGATTTTATTTATTAAAGAGAAAGAGAAAAAAAAACACAAGTGCATGGGAGGGGCTGAGGCGAGAGGGAGAGGCAGAATCCCCACTGAGCAGGGGATGAGCATGTTGACTTGATCCCAGAAGCTGGGATCATGACCTGAGCCAAAGGTAGATGCTAAACCAACTGAGCCACCCAGGTACCCTAAATAACAGTGGTTTATAATTTAAAATATTTAAGATAAAAAGTGGCCTTAAAAATTGCCTTTTTATTGCTGTGGCTTCTCATTTCACAGCATCTGATTGGGAAACAAAAGGCCATATAAGTAAGTGCATTGAATCAGAATTCTTTAATGGATAAAAGAATACAAGGACAGATACAGATACATGCAAAAATGTTCTGATTTTTTAAATTTCTACCTTGCTGTTTTTTTGTAATGTATTGATTATGAATTTATTATAAATCTACCGATCTTTAGTGTTTATAACTGTCCCTAAAATGACAAAATATCTGTCAGGTGGACTTGGTCTTTGCAAGTGTCCATCGTATCCATCTCTCTATGATTTAAGGTTTATTCTGACATGTTACTTTCTGATTGTCTGCTTTTTATAGATGAAATCAGACATCGCAGAAGGAGTTGATATTCCAAAGAAACCTAGATTGGAAAAACCAGAGACACGGTCCTCTCCCATTACCGTCCAAACTAGCAAGGATTTAGCCATGACTGACCTTTCCAGTTTTGAGGAGACTAGTGCTGATGATTTTGCCATGGAGATGGGATTGGCCTGTGTTGTTTGTAGGTAAGTTGTACCTTTCTGTGGAAAGATTCTTTTGTCCTTGTAAAGAGAGCAAACAAAAGGAAAAAAAAAACAGACCAATTATGGGGTGTTTATATTTTGTTTTCATAATTTGGAAGTGGGTAGGAGATAAGTAGACTATTCTCTATGAGATACCCATATAACAATTTAACATCTTGAAAATTGTCAAGTATTTTATCTTCCTCACTGTGGCATCTTTAATCTGTTATGCCATAGTAACGTTTTCTGGGTTCTAGAGGAAAAATATTATTGCGTTATTCTTTAGTGAAGAAGAACCTGTTCAGATTAATTTGTTTCTTTTTAAGAAGTCTGTGTTGCCTTTTTTTCCCTTTGAATTGTTGATAGTACTTATAAAGTAGAATGTTACACATAATTTTCTAAACACCCTTACATCTTTTCCTACAAATAATGGAGAAGAAATCAAAGGATTGTGTAGGTTATTCTGAGTGTTATTTTGAAATGTGGATACATAATTATAAAACATGGATGATTTTGCCTATTAGAAGATGCATTATAAAAATAAAAGAAAACTGAATTTTATACTGCTTGATGCAAGGGGCTAAATTTTTAATTGTTTATGACTTGTACTGCCTAGCGCAAAAGAAAAGATTACCATCTTTGTTGCTGTTTTCTTCATGGAAATGTTAGATTCTGGTGCGTTAGGACTGATAAAGTAACTATAAGCTTTTGTGAACTTAACAGAGAATGAATTAATGTACTTCTGAATAGGATCATTTGTTACAGCTTCACTGTTTTCACATATATTTATTTCAGCCTTTAGCTACCATGAAGTTTATAATTTTTAAATAAGAAATAATGGTAAAGTAATAATGGAGAGAGAACTAGTAGGATAGTCTAAGGAGACGTAGGATGGTCTAAGGTTGTGGTGATTGCTTTTTGAATTTATATTTTCTTGATATACAATTTGCTACATTCTATTCAGTTGATAACACATGTATTTATTGAACACCCTTATCTGGACAGTAATATGCTAAACATTGTAGATAATTAGGTCCTGTTTCCACCTTCATGCATAAGTCAATTTAAATGTACAGGCAACTTATTTTAATGAACTTCTATATTAATGAAGAAGACAATAACATGTAGGTAATGCATATAAAGGAATTTAATAGAAGTATAGAGAAAATTTTATGGGACTGTTGGAACTAAGGGAGCCAGAGTCTCCCTTCTTGGGAGAAAGAAAAAAATTATGAGAAATGGCTAGGAGAATATAGCCAAATTCAGTTACTAGGGTACGTTACATTCATTTATGTTTGAGCGTGGAATGCTCGTGCAGGCTGCATGCTTGAGTTTGTTATTTTGCTGTTCGGTTGTTTGAGGTTTTTCCCTCTTTTATATATCACACTTACCAAAACAACCCTAAAGTGGCTTTAAATTGTTGCATTCAAATAAGTGCAGTGTTTAATGGTATTTTTCCTTAGGCAAATGACGGTGGCATCCGGTAATCAATTAGTAGAATGTCAGGAGTGCCATAATCTCTACCACCAAGATTGCCATAAGCCCCAGGTGACAGACAAGGAAGTGAATGACCCTCGTCTGGTGTGGTATTGTGCTCGATGTACCAGGCAAATGAAAAGAATGGTAGGAATCTTTTTTTTTTCTCTATTTTTAAACAGTCTCTATCATTTTTTTTGTTGTTGTTGATAGGTGCTTTTCAAAATAAAATTTGAATATTTAAGTTATTGAAAAAATACATATACTGGTTATTTAAATGTTTGTATTTATAATGTACATGTATGATTTATGTATCTATGCCTAAAGAAAGGACCATATTATATCCATTTTTCTCTGTTGAGCTTTTAGCTTATTCTAATATAGATAAACAGGATTAGAGACCCACAAAACATGAACATTCCTGAAATACAGTATGTCTGTATTTACAAACATTTAGAAATACTATAAAATACTGTGGGAAATGGTGAGATACAAAGCCCTAGTCTTTGGTGAGTCTGGTAAGGACATACTGAAAATGTCCATTCCTGGGTGGGCTTAAACCATTAAACTCACAAACTATGTACAGAAGCATTATTTGCATATGCATGTCTGTCTTTCCATCTGTGTTTCTCAGTTCATCAGTCTGTCCTTCTCATTGTCTTCAAGTGACCATTAATCTCATTTTCCTAATGTACTTTCTTTATTTACTTGGCTTGCTAATATAACTGCCTTTAACATCATACTGAAATGTGTTTTCACTTGTTATATTGGATAGTTTGGTAATTTCTATTTATTTAAAAGGCAGATAAATAAACTTTATCATTTTCCTTTGAAGAAATCAAGAAATTGTGATTTACTTTAGTGACTTACCTGCTTCTCCTGTCCTTCCTCCCCTGCCTTAGATAAAAGAATTTTCACATCTGTTAACCAAATAAATTTCTACATAGACTTTTCTGGCCAAATATATCTTTTTAAAGGCAGAGGTACATAGTTAAAAGTAAAAATTCAAGGTACCTATTTTACTTCTCAATCAGTTAAATCAGAAATAGGAAATGTTTTTATTACTTTGAAAATTAGTGAAATTTCAATAGTATGTATATTTTCAGTTTGTAACAGGGAATTTCTGTGATAAGATATAATTTTTTCTGCTTAGTTTGATTTTTATTTAGTTTATTATTTAAACTAGTCTTCCAGGACTTCAATCAAATGATTATGGGTGAGCAGTATAGTACATTCCAGGGCATTAATAGAAGTAGTCACTAAGAATTGATAATAATAAAAATAAGTAATTTGTGACCACAGTCTTTCTTTAGTATATCTTCAAAGATTTTTTTATTGTTATTTTATTGTAAGTCTCAATAAAGTAAGCACTGTTCTCTTCGAAATGTTTTCTCCTCCCTTTTTTGTGACAGTGTATACCAAATCTGTTTGTAGGTCTAGCCCTCTTTCAGGAATGAACTTTGGCAGCTGGCCAGATATCTTAAAGTAACTTTAAGTTCAGTATCTTTAAAATTAAAATTTTCTTCTCCACTCAGTTTTTCACCCAGTTGTCTGAACTAGAAAACATTATCTTTGATGCCTCTCTTAATTCTATATCACTTTGTTGACCAAATTTGCTAGTTGTGCCTCTTCTTCATTTCTTAAATCTGTTCATTTTGCCCTTACTACCCTGTCCCACTAATTGTCTATTGCTTTAGCCCCTTAAGAATTCTCCTTGTTTCTGGGGTGCCTGGGTGGTTCAGTTGTTTAAACATCCAACTCTTGACTTTAGCTCAAGTCTTGATTTCAGGATTGTGAATTTAAGCCCCATGTTGGGCTCCAAAACTATTACCAAAAAAAAAAAAAAAAAAGTCTCCTTGCTTCCTTTCAGTGTGCCTTACTCACTTCAATAAAAACAATTAGAATTGTTCTTTTCAATTTTTTATCTAATGTTATCTGCCTAAATATGCCCAGTGGCTCTCCATTACTTATATAATGAGGTTATACTCATTACGGTGAATATATGGACCTTCTCTATATACACCCATACACTCTGGCCATGTTAGGCTAGGTGTATCATTTCCTGAATATGTGATGAACTTTTCTTTTCCCCTATGTCCTGCTTCTCAGCTTTCCTTCATCTGCGGTATCTTTTCTTCATCTGCTTTACAAATTAAATGTGTAATTCATTTATCAGTAAGACCATGTCTCATTGATTGGCATAGCACTAGAGCAGAGCTCAGAACTGGACATGTCCTACTTTCTGTTGTTTTCTGTAATGTAATATGGAGGAAATGTGGATTAGTACCAAAAATAGTCAATAAGTTCAGTTTATATGTCTAAGAATCAAAAGTACTGAATGGAGAGCCATGATTAATGTTAAAACATGAGTAGAATTCGCCCAGACTAGATTCAGAGAAATACCAAAAGGCAAGATCTGAAGTGAGCCTAAAGATCAGGATCCAATAAACACAAAGTTTAATGGAATTTGGAAATAGTATGGGTACTACTACAGTTGCTTTCAGTGTATATGCATTGGTTATTGCTCCAAGGTATCTCAGAGATATTATAAATAGCATCTTATATCCCCATTCTCCCCACACTAATTTGTCCAAGTAGGGCAGATTCTACAGTACACATATTATATATTATTATAGGAAGACCTAGTTAAGAATGTAGTGATAGGGTGTGGCAGGCTCCAGGATCATTCTTCAGTTCTATAATGTTCTCTTTACCAGGTAATGGGTTTTGCCCCAGCCCTAAGTCAGAGATTCCTATAACTTATTGCAGTGGTTTTCAATCTAAGGTAATAACATACCTACTCAGCAGCATTTAGAAATATGTGGTATTTTTTGATCGCTGTCATACTGGCAATTACTGCCCTGAGTGGGAGATTTCATACATTCTTCAATGTGTGAAGCACTCACCCAGTGAAAAATTATATACCTTTGTTGGGCAGCACCAAGTCAGGGTTAATATCCTAGTTCCCAAAACTAGTATTTACCAGCAAAAGACCAAGGGCCCTTGGTATTTCTCACTCGACTCGTAAGATGGCTAGGTGATGTAGAAGCAGCAAAACATCCAAATGTGATCTTCTAGACAAAGGCCCTTTCTTGGCTTTGTTGTAAGGAATCTACTAATGTCATGTAAGTTAAACCAGTCTTCAGAGTCTAATCTCTGAAATAGATGTGGGTTGAAGGAAGTGTAAGATTGAAAGCCATGGTTATGGAACCATATATTTCTGATTTACTATGAGGGCTGCATTCTCATAACCTGGTTTTGCAATAGAGAATAAGATGGTCCTCCTTCCCTGCTGGTAAGAGATATTTTACCAAGGGTAGTCTTCTAGCAGCCTTAATAATATTCTTGATCTGAATGTCTCTTTATAACGTTTGGAAGTAGGTATACTTTCATACAGAAAACATGTAATATAAAAAATGTGTTGAATTGAAACGTAAGGACCAACATTATATAGTACAGCAAACCATAGCACAAGAAGTGTATACAAGAAAGTCCAGACAAAAAGACTGTATTGAAATTTCCAGAAATGGGAACAGATTATTAATAAATTTCCTGATAAAGTCCTGCATGGTCTTACTAAGACTGTCAGACAGTGGACTGGCTGGGAGCATCTTTCCCCATCCAGTATGCATGGATTCTTCCAGATTCAGTTTTCTTATCCTATATAAATGAAGATGAATAAATAAAAACTCTTACTGTCCATACTCACATGTGCCAGACACCGTGTTAGACATTTAGGTAGTCATAATTCATCCTCATAACCTACCTTAGAAACAGTTCGTCTTATCCTCATTTTGCAGGTGAAGAAAATGATGATTTTAGAGATTTCCATATTTTACCTGTGGTAACATAGCTAAGGAAGAAGCTGAGCTGGGTTTTAATCCTATTTCTGTTTGACTCTAAAAACTGTGCTTTCAAACACAGCACTGTACTGTTTATATAATTATGATTATTTACCTGGAAAACACTAATAATCTGAAAAATGAATAGAGTTCAGAAGAGAATGCAAAGTTATAAAATAAAAAACTCAATTATTGGTCAAAATAAAACTGAAAATGCTTATAAAGGAACAGTGGATACAAATTCCTCTTTAATAACATAGAAAATTGTATTTGTGGACTTTCTCAAAGAGTTTAGCATGCCTGCTTCTTCAGTGTGAAAAAAACCTCAAGAAGATACATCATTTGTCATCAACAGTTTTTTAGCCACATTCGGTATTTGAGATCGTATAATTGATCTGAACTACCTTTAAACTCACCCTCAGTTACTTAGAGATTTGTACTTGAACATCAAGGAAAAAACTCTTTTAAGTCTTTAACTAGCCATAATAAATAAATGGACTCATTACAAGTGAAGCTAACTGGTTACAAGTAATTTGTGATTTTCCTTTTTTTAAAGAAATAGTTTGGTTTGTCTTATTAAAATGGTATTATCAAACCAATCTGCATGATTTCTAAAGCTTAATATCTTTACTGTTTAGAAATGAATAAAATCTGTAAAACCATTCATAGAATGATGATAAAAATAATTTGTTCAAGAATCTATATTTTTAGTGTTACCACAATATTTTTTAAATGTTTAACTGTATTTCAATTCAATGAAGAGTCCTGTGACAGATTTTTTATTGTCTTTTTTTATGCATTCCTTTAAGATTTTGTGTCTAATTTAATTCTCTGATTTTTTTACAGGCTCAAAAAACTCAGAAACCACCACAGAAACCAGCCCCCACAGTTGTTTCTGTAGCTCCAGCTATCAAAGATCCACTGGTTAAGAAACCAGAAACTAAACTCAAACAAGAGACAACTTTTCTAGCATTTAAGAGAACAGAGGTCAAGGTACAGTACATTCCATTTTTATCTAAGCTTGGATTTTAATTTAGTTGACTCAAAAATACTTCCTTGAAAAAAATATTGATGAGTAACATTATATACTAAATGGCAATATGTTGGAAAAAGACTGCATTACTATTACTATTAGGTAGAAAGGGAACATTTATATAATTATTTAATATCTAACTCTGTATCTCTTTTTATCACCATTAGGAAAGATCTATAAGCATTCCAAAGTGGTATTCTTTACCATTTCTATGTAGTCAGGCATTTATCTCCAATCAGGAATTTTGTTTAAATTCTAAATACTTCTGCCCGCAGTTACAGCAGTTTTGCTCCTCACATTACTTGTGCCGAGTGACCTTGTAGCATTTTTTTTCTCCCTGCTTATTGGCTATTGAAGAAGTTTTCTTCTTTTGTCTTTTTTCCATCATTATCATGAACTTTCAAGGTACCTACTCCTTATACAAAGGGACCAGATTATCTAGTGAAAGTGTCACCTTTCTCATTCTTAGGTTTGCATCCTTGAAATCACACTACATTATTATTAATATTTGGCATTTTGATATCGTGGAATAAAATATTTTTCTAACCTTATTTTATAACAAAAACAATATTTTTACTGAGTTATACATTCCAGTTTTAAGCAGAGTACTAAAGATGGTAGAAAAATATTAGACCCAAATTCTCAAAGGTTGATCCCAGAAAATTCCAGATATTACACTGTCCTAGTGACTCTAAGTAGCTAAGTTCAAGAACCTTGGTGTGATGATTAAGAATATGAATGTAAAGGAGTGCCTGGGTGGCCCAGTTAGTTAAGGATCTTACTTTTGGTTTTGATTCAGGTCCTGATCTCAGGGCCATGGGAATGAGTCCTGCATCAGGCTCCATGCTCAGTGGGGGTGTGGATCTGTATTCCTGCTCTTCCCCCTCCTTCTGCACCTCCCCTGCTCTCTCTCTCTCAAATAAATAAGTCTTTTTTTAAAAAAAAGTTATGAATGTAAAGTACTCTGAGAAAGATACTAATAATTTTATTCACAGATCATTTTTTAAACTTAATTTGCCAGGGAAGAGTTAATATCCAAAGGATATCCATATTTGCCATGTCAAAACTTAGTGAGTTGGAATAGAGTGAAGAATAATTTATTGAAAGTAATTAGAGTTGCTGTATTTTATACTTAAATCACTTTTAAGTAGATTTTTATACCAACTTGTTACTACTAAAGGTTAATTTTAAGAAATCCAACATGTAACCATTGTATGGAAAATAAGTTAAGGCTTTGGCTGTCATGTTTATTCTGATTAAGGGGCTTTGATGTTTTTATGATGAAAGTTGAATACATTTCTACTCTGAAAAATATTTGTTTCCTTTTACATATTAAAAAGCAGATGGCTTTCTAGCTAGGATAATGGGCAAGAAAATATTAATAGTTAAAAATTAAGAAGTAGGGTGCCTGGGAGGTCAGTTGGTTAAGTATCTGCCTTCAGCTCAGGTCATGATCTCAGGGTCCTGGGATTGAGCCCCGCATATGGCTCTCTGCTTAGCAGGGAGCCTGCTCCCCTACTCTCTCTGCCTGTCTTTCTGCCTACCTGTGATCTCTCTCTCTCTCTGTCAAATAAATAAATAAAATTTTTTTAAAAATTTGAGAACTAGCTGAGAAACTTATTATCTATACTAAAATACTGAGAGATTACTTGGTCTCCATTGTTTGTGTTATTTTACTTTGTCGTGTCCTAATAGTATTATAAGCCATATGTCATTTTGTTGAAAAGCAATACCAGTAACAGGAAGCCATTAAACTAAAATGCTATACACACAGAACTGTTTGTACTTCTTAAGTCTTGGTCTTTTTAATTACTTCAGATGGGTTTTTGTTTATGAAGTTTGTTGAAAGATCATTTAGCCATATGGCAGACAGTTTTATGTTTAATAGAAAAGGGAAAAAATTACATCTTTCATAACTAAAACAAGTTGACTGCACTTCTGTCCTTTTGCTTCCTTTAACTTTTTCTCATTACCTATGTGCATTCCTCCAGGAATGTATAATTTATCTGTGGTTTATCTTCTCTGGATATCCTTAGATATCCAGATACAGTAAGTAACCTTAGAGAGTTACTAAATGATGTTACTATTAAAAAAATTCTGTTTTTCAGAGTATGTGAACAAAAATTTGGACTTTTCCTCTTATGAAATAAGTATCTCAGCACTCTATTCTGATTACTTTTCACACTGGTTAAAAATGTTTACACAGAGGGGCACCTGGGTGGCTCAGTTGGTAGAGTTGTAGACTCTTGATTTCAGCTCCGGTCAATCTGATATCAGGGTCCTGAGATCAAGCCCTGCCTTGGGCTCCACACTTAGCAGGGAGTCTGCTTAAAGTTTCTCCCTCTTTCTCTGCCCCTCCCCCTTTCTCTCTCTCTCTCTCTCAAATAAATAAATAGGGGCACCTGGGTGGTTAGTTGGTTGAGCGTCTGCCTTCAGCTCAGGTCATGATCTCAGGGTCCAGGCACAAGCCAAGCCCCACATTGGGCTCTCTGCTGAGTGGCGAGTCTGCTTCTTCCTCTTCATTTCCCTCTGTGATCACTCTCACTCTCGCGCTCTCAAATAAATAAATGCAATATTTTAAAAATAAATAAAATAAATAAATTTTTAAAATGTTTACATGCAGACAGTATTGAAGGCTACTTTGTAAGAACTAACAACTCTCCCAGAGTTCAGGTCTGAAGTACAACTGTATGTGTTTTAGGCATGGTAATTACCATATTTTTAAGTAAAATACTATTTGTAAGACTTAATCTTTTACCTATAGGTAAATTTAACACTTTCGTGAATCTTAAGAATATAAAGGTAGAAAGAGTGCTGGTAGGAATTTCAGTTTATAATTAATTATAACAAAACACAATTTTACCTAATGTGAAGGTAAAAAAAAATTGTTCTCATGTGAATAAGGGCAATATTTATTTGTACAATGACGTTGGTGTCACTGTTAGCTTTTGACTGGCCAAAGAAGTTAGAGAAACTAAGGTGTTACATCTTTAAGAAATTCATCTGGGAGTGAGTCAGGCCTACTTAAAATGTCACTGTGCAACTTTTGAGGCAACTGATAAAATCTTTTATACAAAGCAGGGATCTCTTGGGTGATAGCTTCATGGAAACCGTGAATAAATTATGAAAAAAAAAGTTATGAAACCTTTTTAATATATCACCAGAGCTGTACAATTCCAAATAGTTAACATTGCACATTTGTATATATTTTGCAGTTCAGGAGCTATTCGCTCAAAATTAGGGTTAGAACATGTTTTTTTAAAAAAATGGACTCAGGATCTGACACATTCATTCACTCAATAAATAATAATCAAATGAATCTGTTTATCTCAGACATCTTCTAAATGTCCTGGGTTTAAGCATTTTTGTCCAATAAGAGTGGATTCTATTTTGGAATGATCGACAAGCCATTTGGAGCAAGGTATAAACAATTAGGTACTTCACTGAACTAGATAATACCTTTTTTGGGTGAAAAACAAGTTAAAGTATTAAATCTGATTTTCTAAGAGTGCTTGTAACTGAATCTAAAAGCAATTCCCAAAATCAAATTTCATACATTTCTTTTTTGGAATCATTAGAACAAGAATATGACATCTCAGAATTTCTGCTTTGGAAATAGTAGCATCAGTTAGCTATGGATAAGTGTTATTGTTTGTGTTTTTTCAGATTAGTTTCATAAGAACTTAATTTTGGTGGTATGATTTAAATTTCCCAAGTCATTACTTTTGTATAAAAAAATCCAACAATTCAACTTGTTTTATATTTAAGATATTATATTGTTAATACATTTAGCTCTAAAACAATGCTTATCTTATTTTTTTTAGACATCCACGGCTATTTCAGGAAATTCTTCTAGTACCAGTGTTTCCTCTTCGGTAACCAGTGGACTAACTGGATGGGCAGCTTTTGGAGCTAAAACTTCCTCTGCTGGTCCATCAACAGCAAAACTGAATTCAACAACCCAAAATAATAGTGGGAAACCTGCTACCTCATCAACTAACCAGAAGCCTGTGGGTTTAACTGGTCTGGCGACATCATCTAAAGGTGGAATAGGTTCCAAAATAGGTTCCAATAACAGCACTGCACCCACTGTACCACTGAAACCACCTCCACCTCTAACTTTGGGCAAAACTGGCCTTAGTCGCTCCATTAGTTGTGACAATGTTAGCAAAGTAGGTCTTCCTAGTCCAAGTAGTTTAGTTCCAGGAAGCACCAGCCAACTCAGTGGGAATGGAAATAGTGGGACATCAGGGCCTAGTGGAAGTACCACTAGCAAAACCACTTCAGAATCAAGCAGCTCTCCCTCAGCATCCCTTAAAGGTCCAACTTCACAAGAATCACAGCTCAATGCCATGAAGCGATTACAGATGGTCAAGAAGAAAGCTGCCCAGAAGAAACTCAAGAAGTAATGTGGCCAAGTAGGTTTTTATATCACATTACCCTAAAATCTTATTATTAGGACATAAACTGTAATATACTATAATTTAATAAAAATCTTCACAATGAAATTTCTATTATTTCTTACCTTCAAATGCTAAATGTTTTTAAGCAAAATTTGGAAATCTATTTTAAGTCTGTTTAACATTATTTTAACAGTTTCCTTAGCATGTGAAAACAATGATTAAAATGATTAATTCTTGATGAGAACTTCTGGAATCCCAAGAGACTGGTAGCATACATGAATTTTTAAAAAAAGAAATAGTTCATCTTCTAGCAAAGCCCCAAGAATTAATCCTGCTGAATAAGGTGCCTTACAAGGTGGCAGGAATGACCCAATATAAACTTTCCTACTTTCCCCCCAATATTCCAGATATTCCATGTTAGTCCCCGGCCGCATTTCAATTGATTCTCCCTCTCCCCCACAAATATTTTATCTCCCCATTTTCAAAATGAGTTTTATATAATTGATTTCTCATATTTCTGTATTATATCTTTACTTTTATTTTTATCACTTCGTATCAGTTATTTAGGGATCTCTCTCTTCCAGTAGATTATGAACTCCCATAATGCAGTACTTTTCTCCCATTGCCTGCTTTTTCTTATATTGCCAGTCTAATATATGCACATTATATGTACCAATAAATGTTGAATTTTGATTTATCCTGGTTATCTATATTCCTGAGAATTCTTGAACAAACTACCCCTTCCAAGAATTTTTGTGGATGGATAATTTCTGAGTTGTTTACATACTGATACCTTCTGCTATATCATGGAAAGAAAAAAGGGGCTGCTTTATTTTTACTGCCCAAAAGTGTTACAGTTTTAATTTTAGTTAACTTTGTATAAAAGAAGCTCCAGTATCATGATTAAATCTTGAAATTGTTCTGAGTATGTGTGTGTGCATTGTTAAATCACAAAATGTGAGGGGTCTGAGTCATAGCCTTATTTGTAAATTAACAAATTAGCCTACCGTTTTTACATACAGTTTCTGACAGAAGATATGTAGCTTTTTGGACCAGAGAAACAATTTAGTACTCACAAGCAAAATGCAACAGCCATTTTGTACTTCATGAATACCTCACTTCATCCAGAAACTAGAAGTCCAAAAAATTCTTATATTCATTGGATTATGGGCAGCAGCCTTATTCCTTCAACTTTGATGTGTGCTACTGAATCTTTATAAATCTCTAATCTCAAACCCTTTCCCTTATCCCTAAATTTTTCTAACGTCTTCTAAAATACATTGGTAAAAGATTTCTGTGAAGATAAAACTTTTTAAATAAACTTGCTCTTTTTCTAAGGAAAGAGTATTTTAAACTACCCTTAAACAATGATACTAAATTATTCATAGTAAAATAGAATGCAGGATCAAGATAATCCCATTACTTGCATGTGGGGGTAAACATCTATTTACATGTTTAAAATCTGCCTACAGATGTTTCTGTTTTGAGAAACAAAGATTTCTGTTGATTAAACATCATTTGGCATGAACATCAAATCCCCTTTAGGGTCAAAAGACCAAAACAACCCATAAAATCATCATTATTTGTTTATAGTTCAGGACCAGTTTGGACTAAACTGGACAAAATGATCTGATACAAACTCAGCTCAAGAACTAACAATTCGTGTGACCTCAGAACCTATGAGAAATTAAAGCAGTAATGCAATGCATGTTGGCCCTTGAGGTGGAAAATTTCATCCCATCACAGTCAGAACATATGTGCTGGATAGAATTGGGAAGAGAAGTAACTTTTAATTTCTACGGTACTTCAGAGAGAATGTTAGAAGACTTTTTAGGAAGTTATCTTTCATTGAGTATGGCTGTTTGTGGAGATTATATGTGTGCATAAGTATATATTTGGAATCCATACATGTGAAAGTATGCATCTAGTAATGTATATAATTCAGTTTGGTATTTTATAGAGGTACTTCTGTATTAGACTTTATCTTCAGGTACATCTTAAACCTCGATTTTTCCATAATTATAATAAGCAAACTACAAAGCTTTTTTAACTGAACATGTGATGAAAGTAGTATTAACAGTATTTATCACTTAATTTATTTTGTTATGCATAGTTTTTTTTCCTCACTAGAATTTAAGTTGTATGAGGGCAGGGATTTTGTTTGATTTGCACACCATTGAATTACCACTGTAGCTCTCAATAAATGTTTTATTATGCCAGTGAAGGAATAGATAATTAGGTGAGCCAAGATAGGCTTTTAGGATTGTAAGCTCAAATCCTACATTAGTAGAAATTTGGTCAATATCATCTTTTGTATATTGTGCTTTCTGTTGGATTTTAGTGACTTAAAAAAAACACACTAAAGGAACATTGGCTTAAAGTCAGAAGACCTGCTTTTGAATCCCAGTCTCTCCATGTATGAGCTGTGTGATCTTTGGTTTCCTCCTCTATAAAACATAGACGATAATTAATGAGATAAAATGGAAGGTATCTGATACTCCAGGATTAAGTTTCTGATTCTGATGCTTAACAAGGATGTGGTAGTATTGTTTATTATTAACTGAGGTAAATTATATGTGATGATCATAGGTTAAATGGAAAATGCATCATTTTATAAAAATTTGTATTAATGCAATAATTACAAAATTATATAAGCAATTAGAAAAAGGCATAAATACATTTATATACCATAGTATTGTTTTCTTTTAAAGAAAAGCTTTGCTAAGAATACACCCCTTAGATTTTTGAACAGGAACATCTCATTCCAGTATATGCTAAAGTGTGACTTGTTTTTCTAAAAACCTGAAGCAAATCTTGCCTATATTGAGAGCGTAATATCAGACAAGCAGTAGCTGGCCTACAGAGACTCAACTGGAATTGGAGTAGTCCTGGAATGAAGATGCATTATGTTGAATAATTTTGTAAATTGCAGATAATTTAATGACTGGTTTTTATATATATATATTATGTAGTGTGGGTAGGAAGAGGGTGCTAACAGAAAGAGTTAGACTTTAAAAATAGTAACATTCTACAAATTGAAGTATTTCTCCAGAGAATGTAAAGTCTAGTGTCCTTCCAATCAATGAAATTTAATTACTTCTTCACCAACTATAATTAAATTTATATGTCTAATTTGGCTTGAATGTTGTGAGGGCTAGATGTATTCAGTATTGAATACATTGAGTACCTTAAGAAGCCAGTTATGACAATTAGGATCTCAATAAAGTAGTTTTCTTGCTATCTTCGAATATAAATATTTCATCTCTATTCACATGGCTCTGAGAAGTTTTTGCAATAGACAAAAAAATCGAAGAAGCTTATGGGGAAAGTGAGTTTTCAATTTCATGTTTCAGTAATAAAAACACTAATTTTTGTGAATCATTTGAACTGTTCATCACAAATAGTGACAGGCACTTAATAACCATCTCTAAAAGTCCAAATTTTATTTTAGGTAAAATATGGACTATATCAGCACTTAGAGTATTTCATGCAATGCTGCATTTATATGATTAACAATGCGCATTATATCTCTTCTGCACAGCTCAGTCTTCATAGAATTATTTTATACTAATGAATACTAAATGAAAATATTGTTCTCAAATACAAAGAATGTTCATATAGTAGCTTTGTGACTTTTTCACATGATTTAAGAACCCATGGTAATTTTGCATTACTGAATTTTTTATAATTTCCAAACAATATTATGTATAATATTAGATTAGAGCATCTGTATTTAAAAATAAATACTAAATGAAATGTGTACATACACTTGTTTATTTGTTTTACCAAAAAAAAAGCCACAAAAATTTCTCCTTCTTGGCAAAAATACCCATTTCAGAGAATTCTATGCTGTACAATAGCATTTAAATTTTAAAATATAAAGAAAGAACTTTTTCTTAATGCCTTAATTATAATGATGTCACCAATAAGTTTTATCTTTGTAAACTTCTTAAGGAGTTACATACATCATAATTATCTTTGAATTATATTTCCCCTGGGAAATACAACAAAATAACCCCAACCTCAAAATTACAATTACTTGATTTTAAACAATATACTGAGAAAATGAAGGTATTGCAAAATGTTAAAAAAATAAAAGTCTAAATGGCATATGAAAAATGTAGGTGTATTTTTAAAATAGCAACAACATAGTTTAATAGTAATATAAGAGTGAGGGTACAGTAGGTGGTTCATTACAACACTTGCTCAGCAGCCAACTGTACCTGTGACTTCAGTGGTGTGGCTTCTAAAAAGGTCAGACAAGAAGCATCAATCCTAGGACCACACAAGTAGACAAAGCTTCTCATATACATCATCACGTATTTCAACCAGAAAAGTAGATATGTACTACCTCAACAATTTTTCATTTTGAGGGGAGCATTAAGGTCATGGCTAATTTAAATATATATATTTGATATATACTATTATAGATATATATAAAACTATTTTATACATATATACAGTAATATATACCGAATATATATTAAATACATATTTAATATACATTAAGTATATGTATAATTTCCCCACTAGCTTGTTTGTTGGGCATATTCATAGTTACCACAAGTAGCAAGTTTGGATTTTCTTTTGCTTTACCCTAGACAAACTGGAATTTACTTATATTTCATCATTGGGTACAAAGCACTATTTAAAGACATAAGAAGTGCCCGTATATCCAAAAAAGAGAATCCTCTTTTGGTTTCCAAACTCAAAACAAGAAAATGTTAGGTAAAAGAAACTTAGTATTAGAACCTCATAAAATCATCTTTAGATTAAGTATTTCAGGAACAATATTATAAAATCAAATTTTTTGTCATGTAGATGTCTTATAAATTTCTGGGGTTGTATATGTCATATACATACATTAAACAGCCATCTGAAAAGCAGCACTCTTCATTTTGTTATTTGTATTCCTCAGTAATACATGTAACTATACATCACAGAGATGAGATCTCTCAAAGTAACAAATCTTACAATCTCTGTCATCTTAGCATATTCTGTGTGAGCAATGTAAATCCACCTTATCTTGGTATAAAGGAAACCATTAAGTCAAATTTAATCTTTTTACTGTTCTAACGAAGCATCTACAGGTCAATAAAATGTCTTGACAAAATATGCCTGACATCTTAGGGGGCAGTTTTGAGGTATTCCCAAATTGAAGTCAGTGTCCCAGGACATTGTGTTTCAGCAAATGTTATCCTTAATGCCTGCCATATCTAAGTACAAATCAGCAACTAAAAATATTCACATCTTGGCTCAGAACATGGAACACACATTCCCCATTCATTATCCAAATGATTGAGTGATCCAAAAATATTTCCATTCAAGTAACATGTAACAATCATGCAGGATCATTTTTAAGCAATTATACTTTAAAAAAATGTTTAAAAAAATAAAAATAATAAACCTAGATACTTCATTTTCTCTAGATTAACATCATGGAAGTTCTTGTAGCCCTTGATTTTGAAAAAC